ATGTCTTTCTTGCAGCGAGGGGCCCAAAACTGGACACAGTACTTGAGGTGCAGCCTCCCCAGAGCCGAGTACAGGGGGACAATCACCTCCCTGTTCCTGCTGTTCCTGATGCAAGCCAGGATGCCACTGGCCTTCTTGGCCACCTGAGCACACTGCTGGCTCACATTCAGCTGAGCCGAGTTTCATTCATTAAGCTCGCACCCGTCTAAAATGCACAACCTGTGTTTTACTTTTAGTGCCCTACATGACTGGAACCCCTGAGCCCATCAAAGCATCCTCCCCACAGTCCCCTTTGCTTCGCAATCCCACCGGCATTAACGCACCACGGCCCATCAGACGCTCTGCCCCCCAGACCGCAATGCGGGGCCACCACTGCACACCGGCTGATTTCCATCCCGTTTCACCTCATGGCAGCGAAGGCAGTGCTTAATTTCTGTGGGTGGGCATGGCTGAAACTGGAGAGAAAAGTGGTAGCAGAGACAAAGCGCCTCACCTTTTATTTCTGTGGGGATGGCACAGACTGGTAATGCAACAAGTGGAACTTAAAACTAACGCCAAAAGGGCACAAGCAACACAATTCTATATTCCAGTATGGTTTAAAGCCATCCTGCGTAGAGAAGTCCTGTGAATTGTTTTGGTAAATGGCTGTGGTTTCAGCCCAACCTTCGTCCAGCAGTTGTAAAAGCCAAGAATACATCAGAGAACTGTGAGGTTTCTATCTATCAAAGAAAAGCAGTCATAGCAATCTTATGAAGAAAACCAAATAGAAAACCAATAGCTGTGAAAGCAGAAATGGCTTCAAAAAGCGCTTTCTTTACGTGACTTTCCAGTCACTCTTTTGCTGATCATCCCAATTAATCCCGTGCAGCAGCTACAGCAAGGTGAGTAAATACACCTCTGAGCATGCTTCTGGGAAGTAAAATCTGCTTCTTATGAGTCCCTGCGATTTTGTTATCTCTTTTCTGGAGCAGGCCTGGAATGCTTCCTCTCTTCTTAAGACAGTAATGTGGCAAAGAAATGTGCCTACATGAAAAAGCTGAAACGTGAATGGACTGTGCAGCTTTTCCTCTTCTAACACAGCCCATCCTTGTGCTTAATAGCTGTCTAGTGGAGGCACTGATCATAATCTCTGTTTCCCAGCACGTGGGATGTTTACCTTTTATTTTTACCCCATCTTTTTATCCTGTGCTGTAGCCTTGTGCTGTAATTAAGCAGCAACCTTTTGCAGCCCACTTTAGGCAGAGGTAGAGAGCCCAGGAGGATCCAAGATAGCCCTTACTATGCTCCTGTCCTCCTCTGAGACCTCCACTTGCCTGTCCTGCACCACAGTGAGCTGCCGCCTCTGTAAAGCCCACTGATAGCATGGCCTTGGGATAGGGGCATGCGTGGATGGGTGAACTCAGCCTTGAAACACGCAGAGAACTTCTTGGAAATGAAGCGTTCCTCAAGCTCCTTCCCTCGTAGCTCACACAGTCTCAAACCTTTCAAGGATGGAAGGGCATCAAAGGCATTGTTAACATATCTCTGTACGGTATTACATCTCTAATATGTAGCTGCACCTTCACCAAGAACAACCTCGGGCTCAGTGTCTTTGCACTACTGGGTCCACTGATGTCTCCTCTGCCACCAAGAAATTCCAGCACCGCATGCTGCAAAGAGCAGAGACTTGCCCAGCTATGCAAATCCTTCACAGGCATGAGCTGGAGCTGTTTACCCTGACTGTAAAACGTTCCCTCTAGAATTATCTTCCAAGCCTGATAAAGCACCATCCCAGCACACAGCCTGAGTTTTGGGGCTGGTCCTGGGTATCTCACCATGAAGGATGTTCTGTGTGACCACAGAAAAGTTGTTTAACAAACATCCTTCCTGAGCTCCCAGCAAAATTCCCAAGATTTTTTGCAATACACAGCTGGATAAGTACTTTTGCCAGTGGCTCTAGGCTGACGTTTTCTTCCCATTTGGTTCTTATCTGTTGTTTATAGTCACAACCTGTTTTTTTGTGCTTTTTTTTCATAGTGCTGTCTGCCAGTCTGGGTCTTCTCATGATCATTGTTTTATTAATAGTATAAAGTTATTTTGTTATCCTTCCTTTGGTCACAGAAGATGGACGCTGACACCAACCCTAATTCAACTCATCTTTTAATAGCTTGCCATTGTAAGCTTCATGTTTTTTAAGCACAGTTCCAGTGCTCCTCCAAACCAAACATTGTGGAGCCTCATCCCAGAAATCCACGATTCCCAAACAGCCAAGATCAGACCAATGGAGGGCACGGTCCACTGGGGAGGCTGGTCTTTCAGATGACTGATTTTGGATGAGCAGAGCTTGTGTGTCTCCTGCTAAATAAATAGCTTGTCACGATTAGCAAGCTGCAGTTAGATTTGTGCATTTAATTTGTCATGCCAGAAGAGCCAAATCTGGGTGTCCCCCTGGACAGTGGTAAGAGCAGCGTGTAATTTTGGGATCTGGAGAGTCACAGATCATCCCAATTGCTTGTTCTCCCTCTGAAGCTCCAAATGAATTGAAGCAGAGCTGTTTCCCCTTTCCATGACACAGAGCACACAGTGGATGGCAAGGAGCTGCGAGGAGTTTGACCCTACAGAGCTGCTTTTGGGGTTCTTACCTACATCTGTTCTTGCTGTCTATCAGCACATCACATCTCTGCTCTCAGCGCTCCCCAGCTCACTGTGTTCTCCCCTGTGCTGCCAGACAAGGACCAGCTGAGAGGACAGAAGACACATTCCCTGCACTTAAAAAATGCTGCCGTAAAAGACTCAATAGTCACACAAAGCAATTCGGGGAAAATCTGTGCAGCCCTCGTAGCCAAGGAGCAAAACAAAAATACTTGGAATGAGCACAATCTTCTGAACTTACAGCTATTAAACCCCACAAGGTCCCTGCAAAGCTACAAAGCATAAATGAACCACAAATGCAAGAGGTTTGTCATGCAGCCATCTCAAGGTAGATGTTTGCAGGAACACTAAAAGCTTTTTTTTTTGACAACAAGATCATCCCTCTATCAAACATGGACAATCTTGGCGGGATAACACAGTACCATTAGTGAGTAATATTGCTTTGTATTTCCTGTTTTCCCTTTCTCTCACTCTGGACTGCCAGGATTTACGACTCTCCCGTATTTTGTACAATGACTAAACCTTCTATTGCTGCTAGATAAACAAAGTGATAAGTCTGCACAGCTTCTGAAGAGCACCCACAGTTCCTGCTGCAAAAAGCTGGGAGAAAAGCCGGCACTCTGGTTTCTCACCCTTCCTTCCCTTGTCTGAGTCAAGAGAATATCCCCAAAGACCCAGGAGGGTCTGGTGGGAAAGAAGATACTGCATGTGGAGGCTGGAGCAGGGCTGTGTTTACTCTCCCAAATCTTCAGCTAAAGAGGGCAAGTCATGTTTCTTTGGAGTGCTAGGTCTTACATCTTGCAATCCTTAGAGGAAATGTGCACAACCATTCTCTGGTCTGCAAGAAGACTGGAATTTGCACGTGGTGACCTTGTGATTCTTTTCCAATCTTGGTGATTCTATGACTCTAAGTCATAGTGATTTCTCAGGGACAATAAATTTATTCTGAAAAAATAAAACCATAAAGCAGAGTGTTGGAACCTCATGAGAGAACATCACGAGTTGTAAATGCATTTTGCTTGCTGGAAACCCCAACATTCTGCCCACGTTTTCATCTCTGCTGCTCAGTTCAGCAGGAAATATCAGAAAGGGACAGCCAATTGTTCAGAAAAAAGCAGTGATTGCTAAGAGATGGTTCATCCTGTACATCGTGTCCTCTTGGTAGGTCTCTAAATAGGAAATTTGTACTCCCTTCAGCTGTTATTCATGTCTTTCATTTTGGAGCTCGATAAAATTATTATGTCAGAGCATTTAATTCAATTAGAAGTACTTAAGTAGATCAACTACAATATTTATCTAATAATTCCTTTCAGGTGCGTTAATTACCCTCAGCTATTAGCAAGTCATTTTAAAATCACTGCAAGAAGTTAAAATCAAGATTTATCGTGTTTAAATATTTAAAAAAAAAAATTACAATTGTTTGTATCAGGGAGAAGGCACAGAGCATAGGCTACAAGTTTGTGTGATGATAACGTCAGTCTCCCCTGCTTCTATCTTCTGGCAAAGTTTCATCCCAGATTCCTGTTGGTTAAAGACTGTTAAATTTCAATTAGCATTGAAACGACATTTTAGATTGAGATACCAGAACGTGCTTCTTAAAAGCTATTTTCTGTGTTGTTTTAAATCACAGAATACTCCTTAAAATAGCACCTCATTGTCACTGCCCAGTGTTTGTTTAACCTGAAATGTACTTTTTTGTTGGTCCCATTTTTGGCTTTGAGTTCTCTAAATACTTTTCACACTCCTTTTCAACCACGGCCTTGTGGCTACCAAGGCTTTGCCACCCGAACTGCTGAACTTCAAAGGTTAAGAAAACAAAACACTCTGGAACATAAACATCTTTATGTTGTGATACATACCTAACATACCGTTGTCATCAACGCTTCAGCGCAGCTCTCAGAGCTCAAAAATTGTGTCTGACATTTTATAGATGGTTTTCACTTCTGCATTTTCACATATTTTAAACCATTACGTGTCCCTGGGTGGTGCACATTATTAGGGAAGTGCACCTTACCGGATGTTGCTGCTTTATCAGTCACCACCAGACTTTGATTAACTCTGTATACTTTTTGATTAACTCTATATGCTCGTTTGTCTTTCTTCCTACAATGAAGCTGGTTGCACAGCAGTTGAATTGGATGGAATGATTTTAACTTGGTCAGAATCATTAATGGCCTCAAGTTGTACCAGGGGAGATTTGGGTTGGACTTTAGGAAAAAATTCTTCTCCAAGAGGGTGGTCAGGTGCTGGAATGGGCTGCCCAGGGAGGTGTTGGAGTTGCCATCCCTGGAAGTATTCAAGAAATGTTTAGAACTGTTGTACTGACAGACATGGTTTAGTGGGAAATACTGGAGGTAGACAGACAGTTGGACTGGATGCTCCCGGAGGTCTTTTCCAACCTTGGTGATTCTGTGATTCTATGATCCCTCCATGGGACTCCCAGTTCATTTAAGCAAATATAAATCTAATTCTGCACGCAGTACCTCAAAGTGCAGTAAGCCTCCACGTAATGGCTGAGAGTTCTTTTTAGCATGTGCTAATCTGAGAGAATCATTAAAGTTGCTTTGGTTTACTTTTCTTGCCCTGCCTGGATCTCATACTGTCTGTCACAAAGGACCAAGCTGCAGAAGGTTTCCACCGTAGAGGCTTGAAAGCTTCTTCTAGTATTCATCTCCAATACAGGAGCCCCCAGTTTTCACAAATTCCATCTTTCAGGACAAGGGGCAATAACAGCTATTCAGTCACTGGAAGCTGCATGGCCAAGCCTCAGCGTAACAACATCTGGATTTGCAAAGAAAAAAGAGTGAGGACCACAGCGCAGAGAGATAGCAGATAACTTTGTTAGTCCCCTGAAGTGAACAGACACTAACACAGCATTTTTCTCATACTGATCCCCAGTACTCACTGTCAGATTTCCTTCCAGGTCACTGTTGGGACAGCAGATGTTCTCCCATTGCGTTGTTCTCCACAAATCATGCAGTTGGCGTTGCCAATTTATTCAGGTTCCAGCGTACAAGTAGCACTTAACTCAATGAAGAAATTGTTCAGCCTGACATAAAATGATGAATGACAATTCCACAAGTTTCTCTTGAATTCTTGCTGCAGGGAAGCTAAAATGAGGGCAGATGAGGAGAAGACTTGGTGGCCCCAGGGACCTCGTTGGATGGACCCCTGAGCAGCCTGGTCTAGCACTTGATCCAGTGATTGGCAGCCCTGCCAATGCTTTTTAAAATACCAACAACCTTACCCGTATTTAAGTCTACAGTAACTCCTTTTTCTCTCACGTGTTTCGTATAGCCCCCATTCAGAGTTTAAGGTCAACTTTATAGAGAATGAACCTGGCAAGCTTTGACCTGAAAACTGGAGGCTCATGGAAGCTGGAAGCAACTCAGAATAAGGTATACAGCATGGGAAAGCTAGACAAGCTACTTGCATTGTTTAGACAGCTTTGATGTGTCACGGGCAATGAGCGAAGTCATCGTCCGGTAAAATGCAAATTCAGGCACTATCACTTGGGACAGCTTACGTACTCTTCTGTCACTTATTTGTAGATGTTACTTACTATAGCTACCTGATGCAGCCACTATTTTTAACATATATTGCTCATAGACTCAAAAATACTCTGCCTGGAAAGAATTGCAGGATATGAAGATGCTATTTTCACAAATACAATTTTTCTACTTTAGCATCATATGGAATTGAATCGCAAGATCACGCAAGAACGTCTGTCTTTGTAGTTCTTTGTGTGTGTGTGACAATAGTAATGCAAAGATGCACTTTGACATATGGCCTTTGTCTAAATTGGGCTCCTTGCAAACAACCTCAGATCTCAGCTCAGAGTCTCCACCTCTTTGCTGAACCATTCTCTTCTTATTTTGAAAATATTCCTAGAGAGCTGCTTGGTAACACCTTGGAGGAATGGGGCCATTGCATAGCTTCACTGGAAGACAACCCTGGTGAAGGACTGGATGATGCTGGGTTGAATTCCAAGGCTTTGGAAGTTGTGAAGTATGCAACATCTTTTGCACCATTTTATCATTCACGGATGGAGCTGAGGAGCTGTACCCATGGCAGATCTATTGAGAAGCTTGCTTCGTTTTGGTAATCACACACAAAAAACTTCAATCTAAAGTGCAATGAAACTGAAAATGCATTTTGAGCAAATCCACATCTCATTGCTAGGAAGCTTCTCTGGCCTACGAGCTGATGTGACAACTACATTCTTTGGAACTTTTGTCAAGCAAATATAATCTGGAAGACTACAAGGTAGAACTATTTTTCTAAGTTTCAATAAGTTTTGAACTTTGTCATGAGTGAGGGAAGAAAGAGTAATCTCCAACTCTTCAGGCTTTGAAAGCATGACAATTCTTTCACACTTACCTGTCTGCTTCACTTCTTATGCCTCACTCTTCGAATACAGATTACAAGATGCCAGCCTGTAATTTGTAAGAATACTTTTCTCATAATGACTTGACTTTGCTTTTCTCACCTTATCTTACCTTCTCACCTTATCAGAACTTACTTCACAAATTGCAAAGCCTCTTAGCAGCAGAGTAGGTGAAGCCACCAGGGCATGCAGAGCGATGAAGACCGTGCAGACAACTCTCAGCAAAGAGCAATCATTTGTGCAGTGAATTTCATTTCTAAGTTGTTATTGTTGATAGCATTAAAATATCATATGTGTAAACAGCTTTCAGATCACTGAAATGTTGTTGTGTTATTGCCAAGAGTGAGCATGCAGGATCTGCTTCCAAGCAAACACAAATGCAATAACTTTCTGCTTTCAGCCCAACTCAAGATTGCCTCTTCCAGCTCTACTGGTATGTCTAGTGTTATTGAGACAGTTGTTGCAGGTCAAGGCACTCTTTATTCCAAGAGCTGTGAACAAAGTACTATGAAAACTTCTGTTCTGCTCCACTCTTCCACTGCTTGATGCTGACTTTTAGCAGTTATTCATATTTGCAAAGGAACATCTCTCTGCAAGATTTGTGCTAGTTTACATTAAAACAAGAACAACGTATGTTGCTCCTTCCACGTCTCCCTGACATTTATGTTCTCCTATGGGTGCCAGCTTCTTTGTGATCTATTGGGCTGTAAGCACACCAACGCAGAAGCTCCTATAGAAAGCAAGGAAAGCCCTTTAGAAGCAAACCTCTGTGGCAACTGGCTCAGTGCCGTGCTGCTTCCCAGCACAGTGGTGTCACATGGAGGTGCTCACAGGACTGGCTGCCTCCCAAAGGCACTGCCTGACCAAGTTGGAAGTCCTGTAGTAGCTCTTTGACAGGCACTGTTCTCTCAGCTGTGGGAAGGATCTGTGCAGGATGCAGATAATGATTCTGACACTGCACTGCTGTCTGCTTTTGGCCTGTGCTTTTCTGGCCACAAAGCATAACCCACTGGCTGTTCCATCACACTTACCCATTCTCTACCAGCATGATAGAGCCATCCAGCTTCTGTTAGCACAGGCTGGCATGCTCAAGTGCACACCCATGCAAGAACACTGGCTGCTACAGATGATGTGCAGTGTTATCTTCCCTTTCTTCTCTTCCTGTTCCTTCATGGTAGACTATTGCTTTACCCAATTATGATCTAAGTCACGCTCTGGTCCAAAACTATTGCAGAGCTTCTGGCTACTCATGCAAGCAGCCTGCCAGCACCACTCGCCAAACTAAATGTCTGCATCAGCCCTGGGGGAGGAGGATGAGCCATTTTATGGCAGCTGTAAAAGGTCGTACAACAAACACCGGTGCTACTGCTCATCTGTTGTCCCCCCTCCCCCAATGGTTTGGGGGGGGGGGGGGAAAGGGAGGGTGTGTGTGTGTGTGTGTGTGTGTGTGTGTGTGTGAGCGAGCTGTCTGAAGCTGTCCTGGCTCCTCGAGATTCAGGTTACAAACTGGAGAACAAGGAAGGCAGAGTTGATTTATTTGGGATTGCTGTAGCTGTGGTGGTACTGGTTGTTCAAATGGGACTTGAAAAAGGCTTGAAATCCCATGTCTTGAAAAAAAAGCTTTTGCCTTTCATACACAAAATTCAAGCAGGGTGGTTTTTTTGTGTTTGTTGCTGATAAGGACAACACCATTATACCAGATTACAGTTACCTAATAAGCTAATTTGCACCAGAGTCAGAGACCACCTGGAAGTCTCCTGCTTTGTCTTCTCCGTGTAAGAGAATCAGACTGGATTCACTGCTGCGATTGGTTTTCCAGTTACAAGTTTAGCAGCCCAACTCTTCTGCTTCCATTGGTGTTTTAACAGTGTCTTACAGGTTCCCACCTCCAGCAGCATTATGCCACCACAGAGGTGCATGTGGGACAAACATTCCATGTCATCACTTTAGAAATAAGAATTAAAGCCAAATTATTCAATGAAAAAGAAAAAAATTTAAAATGTGGGGTTTTTTTTTTTTTTTTTGAGAAATCTGGAGGTCATTTTCCAGGTTGCTTAGAAGCTGATAACTACTTTGAAACTGCAGCTTTCATCATGTATCCACCAGCTAACATGCAGATGCCTTATACATAGCACAGTGTACAGTATGTACATTTCACATGTGAAACTGGATTAAATCTAATGTCTGAAAGCACACAGGACATCTGACAACGTCAGGGGAAAAATCTTTTTTCCTCATGAAAATAAGCACATAATTCATTACGACTTGATATGGCTAGAAATTTGTATTTTAACAGGGAGAGGAGACAATTTCGTTGGGCAACGTGTCCCATTTGGTATATGGCATGGAAGAGTAAAAACACATGTTTGCTTCTTATCATAAAGTATTACTGTATTAATAGATAACATATATTTTAATTCTAACTTTTATATATGGCTGTCCTGAGATTTTGGAGGTCTGATCAGCACTTGGTAATGATGGGCTCTTTCTTCCATCCCAGTTCATTAAGTTTGTTTCCAGAGAATTTTTCTACAGGACTAGAAGTCTCTTAACTCTGCCCTTCCACCCACTACAGATGCATGAGCAAAGCTCACACTTCAAACACTGCCAGATTCCTGAGTCACTCGAAGTCTATAAAAAAAATAAATAAAATCAATGCTGATAATTTTGTGGTGGAAAGTATGATGCGGTGGAAAGCGTCGGGAGATTTTCTAGCAGTTTTATGCTCTGTAGGTTGTGTTCATACAGTTCCCACACTATGGGCTTCGGAGGATCTTAAATCTTCAAATTCTTTCCTGCCCCAAATCCCAGAATTGATAAAGCTGGTAAAGGAGGAGGGTAACTATAAATTACAAGTAGAAGATGTCTTCAGGAACATCATCAGTCATAGGTGGATGGTTAGACTGGGTGATCTTGTAGGTCTTTTCCAACCTTAGTGATTCTATGATTTCTTAGTGCACTGAATGGAGGAGAGCTTCTACATAAAAATACATACATTTGTAACTAAATACTACTACAATAGACCCACCCTGTCATGTATCTGCAGTAACCTCAGAGGCTGTAGGTGAACTGCACATCCGCTGTTGGGGTAACAATGCCTTACAGCGTCGTGGCCTCTTGATAGATGTGATGGAAAGGGAGAAGCTTGTTATCACATCTGTATTTCCAGCATTATCTGTATAAATTTGACAAACAAATTTTATAAGAGCAGCTGCAGTAGAAAAGCATAGTTTATAAGTCAGAGCTTGTTTTCAAAGAGCCCAGAATCATAGGATTGTGTTGAGCTGTTGAGTCAGAGCCCAGAATCTTAATGTCTAACTTCAGTTAAAATTTACATTGAGTAGTATTTGAATGTAGCAAGCAGTCAGTTTGAACAACCTAAGTCAAAAGGAATAATCAACTAAAATGGTATTGCTGTGGAATTATCAGCACTAACACTGTGCAAACAGGCAATCAGTCAAAAGAGGAATTATGTTTTAAGTCGCTTCACAATAAAGAATATTAAAAAAAAAAAAAAAATTGAGTTATTGTAACACAACAGAAAGCACAGCAGTGATAGCAGAGCAGCAAAGTCCAAGGCTGCATTAAGTGAGGATTTGCACAAATGCAACAACCACAG